AAGAAGTTGTCCAACTGATATATCTGCTTTTGTTGTTTGTAGGTCTCTTACAATTGAATATGGAGTTAATTGAGAAGCGATTGGTGGTTGAGTGATATTTCCAGTCTTTCTAACTTTTCTTTTGACTTTTGGTTTGACTGTTTTTGTTTTGCGCTCTGGTTCTTTGTTTTCTTCTAACTTTTCTTCCTCTTCTTCTTCTATTTCCTTTTTATTTCCTTCTTCATCTAGTCGTTGTCTTTTACCAGTGTATGCTTCAAACAAATTTAAGTTTGAGGGGTTTAATGGTGGTTGCGTATTTTCACCCTCAGAAAATACACCAATTAGTTTTTTGGCTGCTCTTGTTGTTGGCTAGCGACTAATTGATTGAGTAATTGTTGAAGAACTTTGGTCTGGTCAGTTGTTTGATTATTTGCTGGTTGTTGATTTGGTGTGTTGTTAATAATTGGTACTTGTCTATTGGTATTAAAATTATTGTTGTTATTATTCAGGTTGTTATTGTTGCCAGTTGGACAGTCTCTTTTAATATGGCCTGGTTGTCCACAAGTATAACATACTATATTTGCTGGCTGTTGATACTGTCTATTCTGTTGTGGTCTTTGTTGTCGATAATTATTTTGGAAATTTCTTCTTGGTTGACTGTATTGACTTTGTTGATTTTGTTGACTAGAAAGATTAGTTATTAATTGACTAAATTGTTAAATAAGAGTGGTGATGACATTACTCAATTCATTTGTTTGTGTAGTTGGAACATTTGAAGCATATCTATTCATGTATGCTGTTACTGATGTTTGATTTTGATATGTCAGTTCATAGGCCTTTGCTCTATCCAAAGCAGTGGTCCAAGTTTGGTCATTGTGTGGTTTTACCATCAGATGCAATTCAGGTAATAAACCATTTACTAGTTTTCTTGCTTTCATAGCTTCTGGGTATTGGAATTCATCACCTTCTATTCTTCTATATAATTCTTGTAGAGCGCTTGTATAAGAGTCAATATTTTCATTCAAATTTTGTTGTCTCTTTTCTAATTCAGTTGTTCAGATCTCAACCAAGATTGTTGTATAAAAGATATTTATAAAATTAATATTAAAATTAGTGTTTTCATTATTTTCAGTCCATTGAGTTATTCTATTTCCATTTTCAGAAGCTAATGCTTGATTCATTGTTCACCAAGTAAAGGCTGGATCTTTTAAATAAGCTGGTATTACTATCAATTTTCTGGCATTATTAGTTTCATTTGTATTATATACTCTAATAAATTCTTCTAACCAACTAATTGGATCTTGATTTCCTTCACTAAAGTTAGAGATATCAACTATTTTTGATTCTCTCATGAATTGATTGGTGAGTGCTTGTGTATTATTTTGCACATTATTATTCAAGATATTCAAGATATTATTTTGTTGTGAAATTGCAGCAATTAGTTATTAAAGTGCCATTGTCAAGTTTTGAAAATCAGCTTGTTGTGTCATGTTGTCTTGAAATAGTAAATCTAAGTCTAAATCTTCTAATATATTATCTTCACTATCTTTTTATTAAATTATAATTTGTTCAATATAATCTTCTGGATCTATTTCAGATATGGTATTTGCAAGTGAAACTGTTATTGGAGTATTAGTAAATCTATCAGTTTCTTGTAATACTTTTACAATAGTGACTTTTAAGTATTGTCTTTCACCAGAGTTAAGTGTTATATAAGATTGAATCAAATAAATCTTCTTTGTTGTTCTTCAATGATTATAACTGAGTAAACTAATTAATCAAATATTATTTGTAATTGCTGGCTATATGCTATTGCTCCACAATCAGATATCCAAGTCCAAAAATTAATGAACTTGTAGTTTTTTCTTTCGTCAATATCAAAGAGTGGATGACAAATGTAACAATAAGATAATAAAAGGTAGCGTGTTGAATTTAAATTATTTTCTAATTCGTATATTAATAAGTGTGCATTAACAATTACTCCAAAGAAAGTGTAGATATGATTCATAAAAAAGAGATATAATTTAATTTTTGGTAGAAGGCACCAACTGTTATTTCAGTTTTTTTAACAGTATTTGTATAGTGGAAGGTCTTTAACAGGTCTCTTTTTACAGTTATAAAAGGAGATAATGGATCAAGTTAAGTTTATTATTAAGAAAATTATATGTTATAATTATGATAGATTTAAGATAGTTTTATTAACAAAACTTCTTTATTACTATACTTTTTATTATTGCTGCCTTTGTTAACACTTTGCACATAGACTATACAAGTATATAATATAAGAATAACAATATTACAAGACTATTCCAAGTCTATAATCAAAACTATACTAAAATCAAAGGATAATTATAAGATATGTTATATTACTTTCTTACTTTTAACTTGTCTTTTTGCTATCAAGTGAAATGCTACTTATATATAAAAATGCTACTTATATATAAAATTGATTGTTGCAAAAATTTCTAAATATTTGTAACACTAAACTAGCAAAATCTCTATAGTTCTAAAGATCAATGTTTCAAAATATCAAAGGTTCAATATATCTGTTACATTAATGTACAATGCATATAAATAATAAGCCCAAAAATAACTAACCAATAAAATTAAAAATAAATATTGTCCAATAAAAATAAACTAAATAATTGTCCAATAAAATATAATAAACAAAATATACTATAACACTATCTTAAAACCTCTCATTGAATCAACGAGTCTTTTATAACTTGATATATGACAGAAAAGCAGTAATATGTTCTAAGAGTGAGGTAGTAAGAAATTCAGAAATCTTTTTAGATAAACCGCTATGTAAATATGTTGGTTTAAAATATAAAATATTTTTGTGTTCGAATGATTAAATCATGCATGCAAATAAATACCAAGAAAAATTCTCAAACACAGTCAACGTCGATATAACGGATTTGGTCTATAACGGACTATTTTTCGGAACCGGCTATAAATAAAATTATGTAAATTTTCTGTTATAGCGGATCCGTCGATTTACTGGACAGCATGGCAGGAACGGAGGGGTCCGTTATATTAACGTTGACTGTGTAGCATAGTTCTAATTTTTCCGACGCGTATTGTTAAAAATATCAAAAAGCCCAATTTATGCGAAAAATTAAAAAAAAATCAACACTTCTTTTACAAATTTTGTCCTTTTAGCAAATGCTTTTTTACATTGAAATAATATTTTTCTTACAAGTATAACGGCATTTCCAAAACATACTGAGTTATCTGGGAAAGATGCCCTAGCCGCTTCCTATTTGTATCATTTAGATTAACGTACTTTTGTTTGGTGAAATCATTCCATATCTCAGGTGGAACAACAAAGTAGAACTCGTAAAGGTCATGGCTTGTTCCAATGTTCATAACTTTTTCCAACTCATGTGCTTTAATCGGGTGATTGCTCGATACTGTCATTTGAAAAAGTGTGTTGATTGTATTAGATTGACCCAATATGAAAGCATCGATGGCACAGAAGGTTCTCGACTTTGGTTGGCAGTATTTCCCTTTGTGTTCAGTTCGATTAATATTCGAGAGCTGTGTGAATAAAACATGTTCGCACGCTGTGAAATGCTTCTGGAACTCTTTTCCATCTTCAAGATTCCGGACTCGGTAACTCTTATTTCCCCTAACTAGAACTTTATGTGCGTATGCTTCGAAAAGCTGTCCCCTCAGTCCACTACATGCTGATTGTCCTCCGTTCCCGAAAAGAAACGACTTGACCTTCTCAAAGCATAACTGTTCGAAACGATCGAGTAGATTATCAGCTATCCATTTGGAGGCGAAGATGACTCCTGTTTGCAGATATTTTTCATCACAGGTAATATGAATTAGACGGTGACTCACGTCCTTTTTTGAGTCGATGTTTCCAATGCTTTGAATTATTTTATCGAAGTCAGCTGTAGCCAAAGCCACCTCAAGAAGACGCTGAGAACTTTCCATTTCCGCTTTTTCTACAACATATCTAGGGATTCCACCCCATAAAGAGTAAAGTTCTCTCAGCTTAATAAAGTCTGTGTTAAGATGGATGATGCTCTGGAGGATTTCCAGTTCTTCCAAATCCCATGTCGGCATTATCCTTGTATCAACTAACTTTCCTTTTTCGTATTCCTTGTATCGTTCTCTGTTCGGCGAAGATACAACAATCTTGCGGGCATTACATAGCTTTATTTGAGGTTCCATAGTGTCTAAAAGGTAATATACTTGTGGGTCATTAAGGACGACACGCAAGTGTTGTATTGTTGTAAGCTCCACCACAGCCCCATTGCTGAATTTGTAACGTGTTTCTTGATCAGTCTGAAAGACCACCGTCTTACCAATTCCAACAAGTATGTATAATAAGAAAAGATTAAAAAAGGTTTTGCCTATCCCTGGATTTCCTGTAATTAGGAAATCATGTCCAGGATGCTGTATACTTATAATCTCCCAAAGTTCCTTATATGCTTTCCGAACGAAAATTTTTGAACCAAGATTACTAGAACCAAGAAAACAGATGTTGTTGGGAAGAGATATGACGGATTGAGAAGATGGGATTGCGTTCAACTTATTCCATGGGAGTACACTGGCAAATGTTTTCATTTCTTCGGTAATTGCAACTAAAGCATGGCGTGAAGATCATTTAACATTCAGTTACAAAAAAAGGAAATATTTCAGCATAATCTTACATTGATTGTCATCTTCGGGACGCTTACGCTTTCCTGCAAAGAATGAGTAAATAAATGAATAAACCCAACGTTTCCTCGCATAAAGATTGCTCAATATATACAACGTTGTATTAAGTTTACAAGGAGTACTTGAGAAGAACAATACGAGCAGAAGGAGAAAGGAAAGAAAAAGTTACAAGATTGTATGACACAGTGCGGACGAAAAAAAATGAAACAACAGCTATCAAAAGTTAAGATACCTTATTTTATACTTCGATTGAATCTCTATGTGACAACATACCAAAAGTCCTCAAATAGTCGAGCTAACTCCGCATTAGCTACTTGATTAGTATTTGTAGTGAAATAATTGAATAAAAAAACCACTTCATCTTGAGTTAATTTCTTTTCATTGGGGATGGTTGAGAGGCGAAAAGCCTCTGTAAAGACCGAGCTCCTTTCTGACATGTGGTTATTGTATAACGATAAGAAAGGAAATTTTACAGATTATATGAGAAATTGATTGTCGCACAGGACTACACCAGGAAATCTACAGCATTCAGGGGGAATTATCCGTACACGTGATTATCCAATCACGTGTTTGATCTCTGCCCGACCTCCGTTCCTTGTTCGACAATCCGATGCATTCTCCATGCACCGTCAACGATCAATCAACACGTTAACTTTAACGCGTATCGTGAAATACATTGTTTTTTATTAAATTAAAAATATATCATTTTTTTATCAAATCGTGAAATATATCATTTTTTTTATTAACTTCGTTTTGTCTTTTTACCTTTTTATGTCCTCATTTCGCTCTTTCGCGTAATATATATAAACCTTAGTTAATTTAAGTATTTTTTTATTTTATTTTTTTCATTTGAATTATATAACGAATTTTCACAGTTCACTAACAAAATTTCTTTCCATTTTTTCCAATATGAATTTTTGCACCACTTGTAATAATTATTTACCCGCAGAAGTTTTTATTTACAAAAACAAAACTTACAAGACTTGTGCGAATTGCTTGGATGCAAGGTCTAGAAAAAGAGCTGCGAAAAAACAATCGACAACTGATGATAATCAGCCTGAAAAAAAGGAGGAAATAGTCTATGAGGAAGTTGCTTTTGCTAAAATTGTTGATTATATTACTAGTAAAACCGCTAACCTTAACGAGAATGACGTGTTATCCTTCAATCTTCGTGTCAAACTTGATACTGCACAACATGATGCGAAGAATATGGTAAAGCTAATAGTGGATGAGATTGAGGGATTTGACGGATATGATTGGGTGTTCACGACTGGTCCTGAAATGTCATTACGTCACCATGATGTCGGCTTGTTTATTTGGCATGTTCACAATGCCGTGAACTTGAGCGTGAATATAAGATGTCAAACCGAAAGAGAATGGATCATTTTGACTGTCATGGTAAACTAACAATTCGTGTTGACATGCCAGCAGGAGAAGCGATAGTGAGATTTCATCATAATATTCAACATGAGAAACCTGTTGATATTGCAACGTCACCAGAAATAAAGCACGAAATTATGTAGAATCTTCACATGGATCCTATACAATTACGGACACATTTACGTCAAATGTTTGATATTTCACTTATCACCGAGAAACAAATTTATTATTGGTGGTCAACATATTGTCAGCGCTTTTATAAATTAGATGAAGACCATATAATTTCTGCACGTCGCTTTTTTGATGGATCTCATACCGAATCCAGTGAGCTTTGCTTCGATTGGAATACTGACTTGGTTACAGCAATCGGATTTACAACTCCTCTATTAGCCAAACTATTACCATTGTCGAGCGTGCATTGTGATGCGACTTATAAGACAGCCAGAGGATGCTTCGAACTCTATGGAATTATCAGTAATGTTGAGGGTGCAGGATTTCCAATAGCATATCTCGCTTTGAATACTACGAAAGCGCAAGATATTGAAGAACAAACAGGGTTACGGACAAAGACGCTTGCTAGCTTCCTTCATTCTCTCTGCGATAAAGGGCTGCAACCACGATACTTTTACACTGACAAAGATTTCGCAGAAATCAATGCTGCGAAAGAAGTGTGGCCCAATGCTGATATACAACTCTGTCTATGGCACATCGAGAAGGCTGTTAGGGAAAAGCTCAAGAGTCGTAAGCGAATCTACCGCAATCAATATCAGCCAAATGATGCTGTAGTAGAGTTTGATTTCATTGATCCTGCATTTAAGCCTGATTTGGAACGTTCTGAGCCCGAATACTACATGGTATGCCCATCAGACCTACGAGATAAGGTTATTAATCTAATTAGAAAGCACTTTAATATGCATACAAGAATTCCTATAAATGCTGTAGGACAATTCCTAACAGCTGATGAGATACGAAAGAGTGCAATCTGCGAAATGTATGAGTTTTGTGTCGCAAATAAGCTCGTTTTGCTTTGGACCTATTTGTGGACTTCTTGGTATATGATAACAAAATGGGTACTCTGGGCCCGATCAACACGATTGACGATTCCGCTTGGCAAAATGAACATGCTTATTGAATCGCACTGGAGGGTTGTCAAGCATTGTTACCTTCATAGGCTCAATCGACCACGATTGGATTACGTTATGTGGATTATTTGTACGCGTATTCTTCCTGACCAGATTACTCGTCTCAATCAAATGTACTTAGGACGAATGGCACCTTCTTGGTTTGAGGAGTTCAAGAATGATTGGAAGCAGCTCATTGTAAAACCAATTGCTGATGGACACGAGGAACGTTATTTTATTGACCTGGCACGTTGAATATGTAGTTGCCCATCATTTCTTGATAGTTGCTTTCTCATTTGCAAGCACTTAATCCAGCATGCAGTTAAAATGGCGAAGTTAACTAATCCGCAGGGTGTTCATCTATTGTATAGTAATTTTCAGCAGCGAGAGAACTATCTCTTTCTTATATGGAATGGCAAAAAGTTGCAAAATATATCCGAAGAGGTATATATACCGCAATCTTCTTCAATTTCACAATTTGACGTGTTAGGTAGCGGGTTAGTTGAGATGGATGAGGATGAAAATGGTCAAGAAATATGTTATGTTTGTGAGCTCAAGGTAGTGGCTGTAAGACGTATGACAGAACATCTTGAAATCGAGCTTGCAGCTAATAACTTGCGTCATGTTATGTAAGTTGTTGATAATACAAACCATTTGTTCACAATATTAGATGACATCGAGACAGTGCAACGTAGACAGCTACGTGATCCAACATGGCGTGGATCAAAACCATGAACATTATTTTTACAATAGTCGTTTAAATTTGCTGCCATTAAGATGTAAAAATTTTAAATAAATTCTAAAAAGAACAAATAATATCTGCAGCAAACCTTATTAAATCCAATTGTGTTATATCAATTATGATTTGCGCTAGTTGCTAATAAATATATATTAATTTTTATTTAAAAAATAATCGTCAGATAATAATTATCGTTATGCTTCCATTTTAAATGGATCGTTGATTATTGATTGTTTGATTTTCAATCACTAGAATCACGTTTTTTCCGATATCATTTACCGAAGTAACCGATCTAGTTATATGTGTAACACATGATTGGATAATCACGTGTACGGACAATTCCCCCTGAATGCTGGTGTAGTCCGAATCAAATGGTGATATTTTCGTCCGGATTGGATCCGTGGTTCGCGAGATATCGCGTTTCAAAGTTTCCAGATTTTTAATCAGATTTTATCAGATTTTAATCCAGAAATTTGTTTACAAAACCTGTGATTTCCAGAACTAAAAAACTGGATTTTTTCCTGATTTTTGTCTTTTATTTTTTTTTACAGGAATGAATCACTGATTAAACAATAACCTTATAGAACAACTCTAACTGATCAACAATTTATTTCTGAAGAAATACAACGAATGTTGGATGCAAATATTATTCGACACTCAACTAGTTCATGGATCTTACCTATTATTGTAGTTTCCAAAAAAATGGAAAGAAAATATTCTGTGTTGATTATAGAAAAATAAATGCAATTATTAGAAAAGATGCATATCTATTACTCTGAATTGATAAAATAATAGATTCGCTTGAAAATGCACACCAATTTTCATTAATAGACTTAATCTCTGGATATTAGCAAATCAAAATGAAAAAAGAAGATAAACTCAAAATTGCTTTCACTTCCAGAGAAGAACTCTTTGAATTTAATATTATGCTCTTTGAATTATGTAATGTCCCAGCAATTTTTCAACATATAATGGATATAGTACTTGAAAATTATAATTGAAAGTTTGCCAATGTGTATATTGATAACTTGAATGTATTCTCAAAAGATTTTGAAGAACACTTAGAATATCTCAACAAAGTATTTTGCCAAATTCGAAATGCAAACTTAAAACTCAATCCAGAAAAATGTAACTTTTGCCAAAGAGAATTACCATTTCTTGGACATGTAATAACCGAAGGAGGAATCTCCCCTGATCCTTAAACTGTTCAGAAGATAAAAAACTTTCCTCAACCAAAAACTATTAAAGGATTAAGATCTTTTCTTGAACTTGCTGGATATTATAGAAAATTTATAAAAGAATTCTCTCAAATTGCTGCACCACTTTTCAAATTACTGCGAAATCAAGAATTATTTATTTGGACAATAAATCAAGAAGAAGCTTTTCAATAAATCAAACAACATCTTATAATTGCACCTATTTTAATTTATTCTGACTTCACAAAAAAGTTTTATCTTTATACTGATACCTCTAACTCTGGACTTGAAGCTGTTCTATCTCATAAAGATAAAGATGGAAGAGAACAAGTAGTTGCTTATGCAAGTGTTACTCTGAAATCAAATGAACAAAAAATATGGAGTCACTAAAAAAGAAGCACTAGCAGTAGTATAAGCTGTTAGACAATTTTGACATTACATACTTGAAACTGTATTTGAAATAATAACTGATCACAATGCTTTAAGATGATTATTCAAAAATCAACAAAGTCATTCAGCTAAAGTAAATCGATGGATTATGTCTCTTATAAAATATACTTTTATTATTACTTATTGACCTGGTAGAAAGAATCAAAATACTGATGCCTTATCTCAGATATATTTGGAAGATTACTAGAAAATAACTTTCTTCTTAACAATAACTTATTACAACTTATAACAATTTTTGAATAATAAAACATATCCTGTATGACCAATTGCTGAATAATAACGAAAAATACAAAATTAATTAAAACATTTTTTACAAATAGATAGAATACTATATAAAATTAATAGAAAAAAGAACCAATAACATCTCTTAAAGTAATTAAAGAAAATGAAATAGAAGCTATTTAAATCAATTTACATTCAAATTCACTATCTGAACACTTTGAATTTAAAAGAACTCATCAACAAATTGCAAATAGATACTGGTAAACTGACATGGGAACTGATATTAAAAATTATGTGAAGACTTGTGAAATTTGCCAACAAACTGGTGGAAGAACTACTAGATAACCTTTATATTCTATCAAAATTGAACAATCCTTTGACAGAATTGGCATAAATTTAGTTGGATCTTGCAAACTATTAACAAGTAAAAATCGATATATTATTACAGCAATTAACTATCTTACAAAATGACCTGAAGCTAAACCAATATTTGATAAGAAAGCTATTACCATTGCTAAGTTTATACTTATTATTTTTTGGAATTACACTTCTTCTAAATTAATCTTATAATTATTTTTAAAACATCACTTATCATATAAATTTATATTATATTTATATGTAATTTAATATAGAAAACAAGTAATTTAGAAATAATTTTAAAAAATAAGTTGTAAAGTAATTTAAAAATAATCAAATAATAAAAGTAAGATTTAACTAATATTTCTAAATAATCTTTTACTTATTGTTATCTTTGATTTATTTACTTAACTTTAACTTACTCAATTAATAAAAGTCATTTTTTATATTTTAATAAATTATTTGCATTTTTGAATTATAAAATACTTGTTCAACTAGTAGAAGTATTAGAATCTATTTCTTTTTATACTTTTTCTTAACTATTTAATATTTAACTCTTTTAAATATATATAATTATTATTATTATTTTTATATAATTTTTAATTAAATACTATAATTAGTTCATATTTTACCTATTCATATAAGAACAGTAACAATATATAAAAATAATGAAAAATATAGAAATTATAGAATTTTTTATAGTTTTTGAAATTTATGGAAATTATAAAAATTATAAAATTTATAGAAAGTATTAAAAATTATAGAAATTATAGAAATTATAAGAATTTCCAATCATAATATAATTACACTCAGTGAACAAAAGTTTATAATTAGCAAATGATCAATATATATTTAAGATGAAAATTTTCTATTGTATTATGAAGCAAGTATTTAATTATAACATAATTTAGCTCATTCAAAAGCTGAGTTTTTTTTTATTAGAAAATATAAAAAAATATATCAATTTTAAAAAATATAATTCAACATTACCAGCTTATAGATTTTGTATGTGATGAAATAATTGATGTATAAAAGTGTAATTTTACTGAACAAGAGATCATTAACAGTTTAAAATGATCAAAATCAACAATTCATACTGTTATTAACAAGTACAAACAATTTAAATGAATTACTATTGCTCGTCAGAAAAATAAACTGAAAAAAATAACTACTTGAACTATTCATTGATTAGTTAAAATTGGTAAAGATGATTGATGACAAGTTGTTGAAGAAATTATAACAAAATTTAATATTGTAATAAAAATTTTTGTTAGTTCTAAAACTATATATTGTACTCTTTATAAATATGATTATTTTGGTTGAGCTGGGTTAAGAAAATCTTTAGTATCTAAAGAAAACTGTAAAAAATAATTAAAATAGTGTTTGAAAAGAGAAGATTGGAATATTGAATGGAAATTAGTCATTTGGAGTGATGAATCAAAATATTTAATATCTAATAATGATTCTAGATGGTGGTTTTGACATCGTTCACATAAAAATATGATGTAAATTGTCTTATTCCAACTGTAAAAAACAAGGATGGAGTAATGGTATGGTGATGCTTTACTCAAAACGCTCTAGAACCATTAGTTCAAGTTAAGGGTACAATAACTAGTTTAAAGTATTTAGAAGTGCTTAAAGAAAATCTTGAGCCATTTTTAATAACTTGCCAGCTAATTCAATACATCTTTTTCAAGATGATAATGTCATAGTTCACAAAATAGATAAAGTAAATGAATGGAAAGAAAATTTAATATTTTCACTTCTATGGCCTGCACAAAGTTCTAATCTAAACCCAATTGAACATTTGTGGGATGTTTTAGCAAGACGGGTTCGTGGACGACAAAATCTGCCCAGAAACAAAGTGGATTTAATGGATGCTCTCGTAGAGGAGTGGGAAAATATCGAGCCTGAAGTCCTAAAAAATTTAGTTGAAAGTATGCCGCGAAGAGTACAAGCTGTAATCGAAGCAAAGGGATATCCAACCCGATATTAAAATCTATGTATAGATAGCCCTGTTTTTACTGAATAAAATAGTATATATTTTAATGTAATTTATTAATAAAAAAATCGAGTAACGAAGTGTCGAAGTTACCCTAATTTTCGTGATCTACATTTGTAGATCATTGCTGATTGTAAACTTTTGTAATTATCGTTATTTACGTTACTGTTACTATTTATACGTACAAGGATATGTTTTCGTGCGACGATAACACATGTACATGTACGTATCGATGTGCACACAAATAAATTATATGAACATATCATATATAACTTTATCCTTGTGAAGATCTGATTTTCTCTGTAAGTGAGATCCAATTATTTCTGGTGTCTTGGCAAAGTAAACTAAACAGATATAACAGATATTCGAGATCATTTCTTTGTTACTGGAAATGTTCCTATTGGAAGAAAATTTCATGACATTGTGGCTCAATAAAAATAAATTGCCAGTATAAATCACTAATAAAACCAAAAATTTACTGCACTATTAACGAAGAAACCAATGAATGACTATATTTATTGCAAAAATTCGTTATTGTTTTGTTTTTGTTAGCGTTGATTAATAATTTCCCATTTTTTGAAAATATAATTTGTATACATATTATGCGTAAATTTCTTGATTAATAATAGCACATTTTAGGCATTAAGTATCTACGTAAATGGTTTATTCTTGTACATGTACGTAATACGTAAGCTAAATGGGCTATTAAACTACATGTATTTAAGACGATAATGCTAAAATAAGCATTGTACGTAGTTGTTCCTAACGTAACGCTAATGTCCGTTTTCGATTTAATGCGATCAGCAACACAATTTATTACGATAAATATCAGCCAATAGAATTATCTAATTACATACGTATTTCATTATTACGCATACCGATACGTAGTGCTAAATCGAAAACGGCGATAATTGATAAATTTTGTTGAGGATCGAATTTTTTAGCCCGAGCAAATGAACCAAATTGAATGCTAATAGTCAATTACTGGGACAAGTTTTCGTTGAAGCAAAATTCATTTTGGATTTTGCAATACACCTACATTAAAAATATGCAAGACAAAAACAAAAAGCTAATCCTCTTTTGAATTTGAATGAATTGAATAATGCGAAAATCAAATTGGAAGCTTTGTTAGCCGAGTTCTTAAATATTACGTCGTCGATGGAGCTACACAAGAGAAATTGTGTTGTAGAGAAATTGTACAAAACAGTCACATCACACCACACTAATTTCGTTACCAATAATGAGAATATTAAAAATAATATAAATACTCCCAGAGCAGTGGTTTTTAATAATACGCAAATACATGTATCGGTATCGGTGCATCATAAGTAAGACAAAGAACCATTTATACACGTATATAAGTAAGGTAAAGAAATAAAACAATTACATAAAGTAGAACAGATACAGTGTACACGAAATGTAAATAACAAATAATAAAATCGAATCGAATAAAAATACTTGTTACATGTATACAGACCGAAAAAAGGGTAAACTAAAAACTTTCATTACGAGTGAGGTACGTCGAAATCTTATGTTCAATTGAAAATATTTTCATCGTTAACATTGATATAGGTGGTACAAATTAAGCCTCGATCGTGGGAATTTCTGCGACAAATGAGTCGTCCAATTCATAAAAGCTTTTTTTCTTATTCACCAAAAGGTTCTCTTGTCCATTGGTGAAGATTGAGAAGATATCCGATTGCTGGTTTTGGTTGTCATTATTATTATCGGTGTTGTTATTAGTAAATAATTGATCTAAACGCGTTGAAGTTCCACTGATGGAATACGAAAAACGAAATAGATTTCTGTTTTGTTCGTTTTGAACATGTTCTTGGTTTTGATTATTGTTATTCATTTTTTTTATATTTTTATTAGTTTATTTATACTTACCACAGAACTAAATAGATAATTTGGAAACGACTTCACAAAAGGCTCTTTATATAGAGGGTAAAAGCAATAAATAAATTTAAACTAGGATATAATTTAAATATTTATATCAAAGTTTATTAATTTGATTCGTTTGAACTTCTTTTTTCCAATTAATTTTATTGGAGCGGGACTGGTCTACAAATTAATTGGACAGTTTAGACCGGTAGCTCCAAGAGTTCAATTGCACAACACTGTTTCACTATATATTGCACCATAAACGAGGCAACCTCATATTTACTCCTGCATTTTAGATGGGACTAACTGAATTTAATGTTTCTATCTTATTGCTTGGCCTTTTCATTTCAAAGAAATTGCCGAGAACCTAATCTCATGTTTAATTAGAAAAAATTCCGAAGGCGATACGATGTGATTGAAAAGCAGTTTCCCCGCAAATAGAGTTCAAGTGGGTAACTGATAATGCTAAAATAAGAGCAAAGTGAAATTATTCTGTAAATGAAGTCATGTCAGCCAAGAGCTATCAAAATTTCTTACATTACAATTATGGTATATGTACATGTATTTGTTACGGTTATACAAATTTATTAACGTTAATGAAAATTTATGATTGGTTTGTTTTTAGACTCAAATAGCTAAATTTCATTGTTAACTTGGCTAATTTAGTTAACAACAAACCAATGGTTTACATTATTGTGCAAATATTTCAAAATACGTAAGCATGCAGCGGTAAACTTTGACTATCAAATAAATCCAGTTGCTTTATTAGGATTAATTAATAACGAAAGTTTAATGAACTCATTTACAACCGCGCGAAATTTCTATTTAATTCATTTTTGCATGTAGTTAATAATTGAATATCACACAATGGATAATGTTTTTACATCATATTAAATACTCGAAATAAATGTTATCATACTGCTTTTATAGATCTCCCTAACCGAGAGAAGTTTCTGTTGTATGGCATTGACAATTGCTAAAAAATATGCAAGATATGAGTAATAAACAGAACTACAGTCATTCCTCCATATAATCACTTCATATATAGTCACATTTTCTCTACAATCATATTTCAGATATAGGAAACTTGATCTTTATATAGTTATAATTTATCAAACTTTTTTGATTTCAAGAGCATAATTATTTGGTACAAAATTTATATGCATAATTTGCTTGAATAATATTTAGTAAAATAAATTATATTATTAGCAAAATGTATACAAACTAATTAAAATTGAATTATATATTAATTAATTCAATATAAAATTACAAAAGTTACAAATATTAATAATAATTGTATAATTTCGAAAAAAAAAACTAGATAAATATATATATTATAGAGTAAAAATTCAAAATAATCAACTATTTCATAATTTAATAGATTTTATAATATATTTATTATACTAATTGTATTAATTAATATTTTATAAAAAATTGAATTCATTTTTTTTTCAGAAAATATTTGGAACTTTAAATTTTTCTGATTTTAAATCAGAAAAAACTGGATTTTTTATTTTTTGGATTTGATTTAATTTTAAAATTAAAAATTAAAAAATTCTAGTTTAAAATTCGCAATATATAAAATTATAATATATATATATAATTGCTTAAATATTTATAAATAAAAATATATTATAATATAATAATAACTATATAATTAACAAAATTATAGAATTATAATTATGATTTTATTAAAAAATATAATAAAAATTAAAATTTTTATTTTAATTTTATTAATAAGTATTTTTAAATTTTATATCTAAACAAAAATTATAAATTATATTTTAATATATATTTTTCTGAATTTTTAAATTTAATCTAATAAACTTGTTTTAATTACGAATTTATTATAAAATTTTTTATATTTAAATATAAAATTAATTATAAAAATTTTTGTTTGTTAAATTAAATCTAAAAATCCAAAAAAATATATTAAAGTATAACTTATAATTTTTATTTATTGCAAAATTAAAATATTGTACAATAATAATTAAAATAAAATAATTATATCAAAATTTATTATTAAAATATAATAAAATATAAATTTTTCTTTTTATATAAAAGTTTTTAATTTTATTAATAAATATTTTTTATTTTTTAAAAATAATATCACATATATTAATATATTTGTTTTAGATTTTTTAGATTTAAACTAATCAAGTTGTTTTAATTTTATATAAAGTTAATAATTTTTTATAATTAAACTATAAAAAAATTATTAATTTAATATAAAATTAGAATAACTTAATTAGATTAATCTTAAAAATCTGAAAAATATATATATTATTTTATTTTAATATAAAAATATTTATTATAAAATTAAAACTTTTATATAAATAAATAAAAAATAAAATAAAAATAAAAAACAAATAATAAAAATAAAAAATAAATTTATTTATTAATAATAATTATTATTATTAAATTTTTTTAAGAAAAAATATATTTTTTTTGATTATACACAATTAATAATTTTACATATTTAATTATAAAAAGTTATTTAATTAGTAAATTACAAAAAATTAAATTATATATTTAATTAAAAAAATTATAAAAATCAATATAATTAATTAATTAAAATATAAAATCAAAATATAACAAAAAAATTTAAAATATAAAATAAAAAATAATTTATATCTCAAATAATTAAAATATTTTTACAAAATTTTATATATCTTATTATTTTTTTATTATTTGATATCTTAATTTAGTAATTTATTTTTATCAATAACAAGTATATTTTTTCAAAAAATTTAAATAAATAAATTATAATAAATAAATTTCAAAATACTCTAAAAATATTTTTGAAATATATTTTGAAATATATTCAGAAAATTTCTTAAAAAAATAAATAAAATTCCAAATTTCAAAATTATCAATTATAAATTTTTCAAACAAAACAGAATTTAATTTTTTTATTACAAATAAAATATATTATAATATATTAAAAAAAATAATTAATAAATATTAATTTTAATAAATTAGATTTATAAACTTATTAATAATAAAATATAATTAATTCAAATTTATAATATTATTAAATATATTAATTTATTATATATAATAGCTAATAAAATTATAGAATTATATATAGAAGTTTATTAATAAATTATATTAAAAATTAAAATTTTTGTCTTATATAAAAGTTTTTAATTTTATTAAAAATATTTTTTATTTTTATATTATAATAAAAATTATAAGTTATAGTTTAATATAATTAAAATATAATACAATTAAATTATCTTTTTATAATAAATATTTATTTTTATTAATAAATATTTTTTGTTTTTATATTAAAATAAAGCTAAAAATTTGTATTTTAATATAGATTTATTAAATTTAATTTCAGAAAGATTTCAAATTATAAATTTAATTATATAGATATTTTATAATTAAAAATTCAAATTATTAAATTTTAATTATAAAAAATTTATATAACTAACTTTATAATCTGAAAAAAATATTTATTAATAAAATAAAATATTTATTATAAAGAGATAATTTCAATTTTACTATATTTTTTTTGAATTTTCAATAATATATTATAGAAATATATATAAGTATACTTGCCAAAATTTCTTCAAAAATATTTTGACAATATTTTAATAAGTTATATATAAATTATTACTTAATATTTCAACAAAATTTTAGTTTTGATAAATTTCAAAGTTTGATAGAATTTTAATCTCTATTTACTAATAATTTATTATAATTTTAATAGAATTTAATTAATTATTATAAGATTTTAGCAAGCATCCTTAAATATGTATATTTTTTTAATTTGTTTTGATAAAGTTATTCAAATTATAAAGTTATTAAATTTTATATTTTAATTATAAAAATTTTGCAATAACTTTATAATTAGAATAACATTTTCAGAAAAATTCAGAAAAAAGATATATAACTTTCAAAATTATATATGTAATTTTATTAATAAATATAGGGAATTGCTATTCGCACCATGAATTTTTGCTATTCGCACCATGGATGCATGCATTATATTGATCACTTCGATTAT